CTGAAGAGGCGGCTAGCTTCATCGTGCTGTGCTTTAACCCCTTGCACCACCAGGGAGGGCCCTATTGCTGACTTTTATAGAAAGTTCTAGCAGATACCAAGATCTTTATCTGGACTTGAAACATATTTCATAATAAAATAATACCAATTACTTATTTATGTTGTTCTTTAATAACCCACAGATTGTTTCATGTCAGAAAGTCCAAGCTATTTATTACTTGTTGACCACATTTTGATCTCTAGCTAAGTTGGTTTTATAGCCTAGTAAAGTCATGTCTATACCCCTTGATACCTTTGCTTTTGTTTTTAGGGATTTGATGCAAAAAGCAGTAAGTTTAATTCACTGTATACTTATAAAACTTACTATGTATATACTGCTTCCTGTCCTCATTTGCCATTTTGGCATTTAGAAATACTGGCAATCACTGACATTCCAGCAATGTTTGTTCAATCTTGGGTCCTTTGTATCTTTTAAAATCATTAAAAAAATCAATTAATAATTTTATGGTACTTAAAAGTCAATTGATTAATTGCAATAGAAGAAATTATATTCAGTGTAATTAGTTCTTACATTTTTCATGTTTTGCTTTGTGCTGCCCAAAGCATTGTCAGGTACAGGCACATTTTCTAAATTAATGGAACAACCAAATGGAGTAAATTAATCCATTATAGGAAACTGAAGCACTGGGGTTTCAGTACAAGTTAATCACAGAGTGTTGGAGTGAAAAAAAAGTCATCCTGTATCCCTCTGGGTTCTTCAAGGCCAGCAAATAAACATGCATTAGACACACTGACAAGAGAAAAGGCCAAACTGGAATTTAATAATAACATGTATTTCCCCTGTGTGCACGGGAGAGATGCAGCATGATTCAGCAACTCAACCACTGGGCTTCAGGTCCCATCTGTTGTTCCACCTTACTTTTCTGATTTTAAATATCTGATTTTGATAACGAACTAAAAATAGTTTATAGTGTGCCATGTCATAATTATATAATGACTTGTAGTATGAAAAGCCTTAAATGTCTATTTTAAGAATTGGCACCAAGTTAACAGATTTATTTTTTCTTAATTGAGACCCATTTAAAAACCCTGCTTGAGCTTAGCGTCTACAGTGGCTATGCGTTGCTGTTGTTGCTAACGAGGGTTGTTGTTAAAGTGTCTTGGTATTCTAACCCAGGATTAATTCTTTGCTTTGTGTGGGACTTTAGACAAATTAAAATCTCACTGGACTTCAGTGTCTAAAAATCACAGATGAACAGGGGTTCTAGCATCTTGTCAACTTCTCAAATTCGGGAGTATTTTGTACAGATTTTACTTTTCCATGACCTCTTTTTAGTTTTGAGAAGCTAGTGCAAGGATTTCAGCTGTTACTTATTTCTTAATATCCTCCCGGTAACAGATTCAGGGTAACTCTTCTGAGTGGTAGCAGCGGCGGTGGCGGCATTTTCTAAACTCAGCCTGCCATACAGGCTTCTACATCTAGAAGTGAAAACACTCTGCTTTCCCCTTTTCAGTGATGCCAGATTATTCTAAATTGATGGTGTGATAGCAGGGAAAAATAACTTTCACCTCAGCTTACACAGCTGCATTCTGAGGTCTTTGAGTAAATCCTTCCCTTTTAGCAGTGGCCTTTGAAGTAGTGAGTAGCTGTGTACATGATTTCAGCATCCGCTGCAGGAAAACAGCATGTATTCCTTTGTATTTCAGCTTCAAAACTTGCTTGAAAAATAAAGGTTTATTTTCTTGTGAATTTGGATGACTGAATGTTTGATGTGTGTCAGAATGGTTGAGCTTTAAAAAATGCTATTTGGAAGTGACAGCTTCAGTCAATAGGTGTGAAATGTCATTATGGGCCCAGTTGGTCATTAGAAAGGAAGCCGGACATTACAGAAAGAATAAATGTGACTCCTGGAGTAATTAAAAGTTTCACTCCCTGTACATGATGGGATCTTCACAGCAGTTGTAGTTGCATGACACAGACAGGGTAGTTGTTAATCTTATTTTCCCCATGCAAACTGAGCTTGAAGAGCTTGACTTTGTCAAGAAGGGAACTAGTTGAGTTTTGTCTCACCTGCTGGCTCCCTGACTCACAGCTGATGTTCTTTTCCGCCATGCCATGCACACAAGATAGTTATATTATGTGTCAGACATGACAGTGATGGAGGATTCAGGACAAGAAAGGAAAGACTTTCCAGAGAAGGACTTTAGAGACTAAGGAAAGAATCTGGACTCCTTGAAGGTGGATAGTTCCAAGTTAGGGAAAGCACAGGGTCCCTTAATGAGAGAGGAATTTTGTGGTCCTAATTAATGGAAGCCATTGACTTAAACTGCTACCTCTTAAGAGTTCTTTTGGCAATCACAACTGCCTAACGGTATTGATTTTGCAAGATTAGTGTTCCTTTGTTTAGACGGAGGCTTGCAGTGTGAGTGTGTCTGTCTGTCTATCCTTCTGTCTGGATGTCCCATGACGTTGTTTTCTACCATTTGGTTTTTTCTATTTTAAAGATTACTATGTCTTTAGAGGAGATTTGTCTTTCCAAGAGAAGTGAAGCATACCTTGTTCTCAGTGTGGTCTTTGCGGTGCAGGGGAGTTTCTCCTCCTGGCAGACTTAGTGCTTTGGGCATAGAGGGAAGCTGGAGAACCTTCCTGAAAAGTCCGTATTCATTGCCTCGGGCTTGCACATTTACAGGGAGAATTTTTTTCTTTTTAAGAGTTATTTATTTATACATATAGAATAGGGGTGCAGGTCAGAGGTGCAGGGGTGATGAGAGGCTTCACCAGAGACAGAGGGGGGAGCAGAACAGGCAGATCAGTGAAGTACATTGCTGAGGGGAGCAGTGGGCGGGTCAGGAGAGGTCTGCAGTTTTTCTTCAAAGTTCTCATAGCCACTTCAAGATGTTGAGGGCTTCCTTGGCAGTTACTCAAATTGTACTAAAGGGAGTTTGGGGAGAAGTGTGCGTTCTGATGTTAAGAGATCCCTGTTCATGACTCGGTGATGGGAAACCCACGGGGATTACAATTGAGATGAAAAAAAAAAATGTACAAAGTGATGTAAAAATAAACTGTTATATTATTAAAAAGAGAGAGAGAGAGAGAGAGAGAGAGAGAGAAATCCCTGTTCCCACAGGACCTTCTGCCAAGATTCCCATTTGGCATGTCTTCTCGTTCCTCTGGGGAGAACTAGTGACTATAGGAGCTTCTTAGAGTGTTTTTTTAAGTGGTCACAAATTCACTGATTTCATATTTTTCTCTGAAGAATACCTTATTTTCTTTGACCATCCAAATAGTCTTAAAGGTGTTTTCAACATCAGGCAGTAGGTTGCTTGCCCATTAAATCGTCTCGTGTTCAAGGTGTAAGGAACATTTCACAAATGCCCAGCAGACATTGATCGAGCACCTTCTGAGTCCTAGGGTGTGATATGTCGAGGCTTTAAATTGTCGCCCTTTCCTGGTCACTTTCAGGGGTGAGGAGTGGGGCAATCTAGGCAGACACCAGTCACATACTGTGTGAAAGGGAAGAGCAGGAAAGGGAGCACTGTGTGGATGCGCAAAAGTAAACACCCAGCACTTCTCACAGGGTTCACAATATGTTTTAAACTTGCTCTTAAGATTTGACTGAAAATTTGAGAGAGAAAAACCAAGAATATGGCACTAACAGCCCTCTTGATGCTAGATTATGTATTACTGACTTTTACATCTGGTTTTTAAGACTCTAACAACCTTATGAGAAAAGGATTATACCTATTTTACAGAAGAGTAAACTAAAAGTCATCTGATGGGTCATACATGGCAAATGCTAAGAATGAAACTAGTTTTTCTGCTGCTGGTGTTTTGTTTTGTTTGTTCAACCATAATGCTTTGTTATAGAACTAGGTCTTTTATTTTTAATTTTTCTGGCTTTTTAAAAAAATTCAAGTGACTTATCAAACTAATACATACAAATGAAAGAAAAGGGAGGAGAAAAGTAGGAAGTGCCCCTAGCTCTGTCATCAAGAATAAAAGTTAGTATGTGATATATTCTTCCCCATTGTTTAATGCAGTGTTATATTCATAAACCATGTTGTAGTTAAACACAGAGACATCGTGTATGTGAATGCTATACATACATGCCATTTAAACACTGAATTTATATGTTTATATTCATGCATATATAAACTTAATGAGATTTTGAACCTCCCTTACAGAACATTTTGGTTATTACCACATCACTGATTTAAGTATTTTAATAAATAAATAAATACAATGAACCAGGACTGAGAAACTTACGTTGTAGCTCTTTTTTGCAAGCTGCCACTGGCCATGGGCAAGTTTCTCAACCTCTATGGAAGTCGGTTTTGTCACTTATAAATGAGGGAGTTGGATTAGGCCACCAGTTTGAAACTGGATCCCACAAAGCCCCCTGGAGGTTGGGAGTGGAAAGGTCATCAGAACCGAGAGGTCCCAGGCCCATTATTCTACTTACTTTTGACCCAAGCAGCTACATTTATAACTCATACAAATTTGGAGTCCACACACATTTGAAAAAAGGGATCATTTATTTTTGGGGGAGATGAAAGAGTATAAAATATTGAACAGGTGATTTTGAACAAAACTTTATGATTCTCTTCTGTGATATTATTAAGATGCTCTGTGTTAATTACATCTTGAAACATTTCTTCCTCACATAGAATGGTACATGAAACATTTGCCATATTCTTTCAGATTACCTCAGGAAGCATGTGCATGAACAATCACTGATGAGCAGTGTCCAAGGCACTATTGAATTATTTCTTAGCAAATATGTCTTTGGAAAGGTCAGGAAACATTTCCCCTTGATCTTATCAATTGCTGGTCATTTGTGATGCTTTTTCAGGAGACCCTACCTGGGAGTCTGTAGCTCCTTACTTAAGCTAATAACCTATTTGAAGACTATGTGTTGTACTTCACAGTAACTGCATTTACATTTCAAAGGGATTTGTTTGGAAATCAAACTATTTTGACATTTTCTCTTGCCTCCACAGAAGGAAGAATCTTGTCCAAAAATGAGGTGAATTAATGCTTAAGCACGCAGGAACCCCAGACAGCTACATGACGTGTTTAAAAACTGCCCGATCGTCTTGCCACACTAGTCTCTGTCATGAGGCCTGACAGGATGAACACATCACAGAGGGACAGTGTCCTGACCTGTAGGAACCGAGGCTGCTGACCTGCGGGATCAAGCTGGGGACTGCCTACTGTCTGCCAGTACAATGAAGGAAGTGGTTTATTGGTCACCCAAGAAGGTGGCAGACTGGCTGCTGGAGAATGCTATGCCAGAATACTGTGAACCTCTGGAACATTTCACAGGCCGGGACTTGATAAACCTAACGCAAGAGGATTTCACAAAGCCCCCGTTGTGCCGAGTCTCTTCTGACAATGGGCAGCGACTCTTGGACATGATCGAGACCCTAAAAATGGAACACCACATGGAAGTGCACAAGAACGGCCATGCCAATGGGCACCTCAGCATTGGCACAGACATCCCCACACCTGATGGTAGCTTCAGCATCAAGGTCAAACCCAATGGGATGCCAAATGGGTATAGAAAGGAGATGATAAAGATCCCCATGCCAGAACCAGAGCGTTCTCAGTACCCCATGGAGTGGGGCAAGACGTTTCTGGCCTTTCTATACGCACTTTCCTGTTTCGTTCTCACCACAGTGATGATCTCGGTCGTCCATGAACGAGTACCTCCTAAGGAGGTGCAGCCTCCACTACCGGACACATTTTTTGACCATTTTAACCGGGTGCAGTGGGCCTTTTCTATTTGTGAAATTAACGGCATGATCCTTGTAGGACTCTGGTTAATTCAGTGGCTGCTCCTAAAATACAAGTAAGTAAAGTATATGATGGGGGAGTATCCACAGCTCATGTCTGCTACGTTTTGTGTGGAAATGAAATATATCAAGGATTAGGAGTCAGAGTATATTATTTCCTTAAAACAAAGCAAAACAAAATAAAAAAACAAAACAAACAAACAAAAAAAACCAAAAACATGTACCCTGTTGGGCCAACTGAAACTCTGGCAACTTTTAGAAAATACTGTGCTTATTGCCATTTATAAGATTCACATAGCATGAGGAGAATTGTTAGAGATAATGTTCTTCATAGTAATGAAAACCCTCAGACAGCATCAGAGAACACACATAAACTACCTAGTCTTGGTATAACTAACCCATCATATAAATTGCTGACAGTTGGCCTATATACCAGGAGTGCCTGGATAACTTTTTCCATCAAATCAGACATCTGGGACCTTAGCAATATGTATTTACGGATGTTTCACACACGTTTCTGAATGCTGTTTCAAAGTGGCTCGGGCTGTTGGGAAATGATACCCTTGGGGAATGACTTAGTTCCATGGACTGTGGATGAATTTGAATGGCTCGACACCTTCTAGAATCTTTTAACTTAACAGCCATATGAGGCCATTCCATTCATGTCTTGAAGTTTTAAACAGGCATCTCTTTTTAGATCTAGGTGGATCCAAAGTCGTTTTCATGATCCACGCTCTAGAAATACATGTTACTTCAGGCAGGCTGTTTGCTCAGGTTGTCCGTAGCAAACTAAACACCATCACCCTCATCATGGGTGTGTGACTTACTCGTTATCAGAACTTCTTCATAAATTCCATGCCTGGAGTTGGAAATAGGCTTGCTGAAGAACTGAGTTTCTAGTGGACTGTGTTCTGTGATCTCCCAGTGTAGCTGAACATTTAGAAAATCATTTTCAATCAAGAAAATAAAATGTGAGAGTTTATGCTGTGTTTTATCTACCAGGAATGATGAGTGTTTTTTTCCTGGTATGTTTCATAAGGACTGGTTCTTTACCTTATAAATTAGATATCTGCAAATGGAAATGAAAGCAGTTTCTGATTTCTTTGCCAGGAAAGGACTTTCTCAACTTTGTGTAAAGGAAGCTGATTAAGTGGCCAGTGTTTATTTTGGGGCCAGGGTAGCAATCTGAAGTTTTAAGCTAACTTCAAAATAGAAACAATGGCTTCGGCTGCATTCGATTTTGTGGAAGAAGACCATCTCTTTGTTTTAGTTATAAGAAATTAAATAGATAAGAACAGGCTTTGGAAATATGAGATGCTTAGAATTTGTTGATCACATTTTTTGGCTGCCAAATTTGAGTTCTGCTTTTCTATTTCTAAACCTTTTTCCTAAAACACCCTTATAACATAATTCCAGTACTTTTCCTTCACAACTCAAATTTGTTTCCTGAATTTCTGTAGTTTTGTTGTGTAGTTGTTTTCTTAAAAATTTTTACATGCAAACAAATTATTTACAGCCCCAGAGTATAGTGTTGTATAAGTCATACCATATTTGAATCCACATCTTTCACAGAAGTGTGACTTTTAAATATTTTTTTTTCTTGTTCTAAGAAGTGTCCTATCTTTAGGGCCAATTTCTGTAAAGTATATTACAATTTGTATTTCTCTCAGCATGGACTTTTCCTCAAATCTCTCTCCCTCTAAGCTTTCTAATGTTGTTTATTACTGACACTTATTGCCAGTGTTGGAGTCATTCGTATAAATAGTTTAATAGCAATAACTTAGTGGGGCTTGTGCCTTGGCAGAATGAATCCAGGACTGGGCTACAGACGGCCAACCCAGCCTTGCTCTGACATACTAGGTGGGTGGGAAGATCTAAACCTCAGGTGACTTGTCTTCCTCACAGATATAACAAAGGCCTCTCAGTATGGTTATTTCTATTGTTCTATACAAATATGTTTTATTTGATCATAACATTTTTGAATGGGCCAGTTAAGTTTGCGTATTATTAGCTACAGAACATTGTTTTATCTAGAATGCATCCACTGAAGGAGTGTTTAAAGTTTGCTCTCTGGTTTCCATGTTGGCAGGTCAGGGACATGGAAAATGGAAGCCAACTTTGAGGATAATGCTAATTTTTCCTACTCTTGTCCTCCTGGGGGGCTCGGGTGAGGGGACATATTCCTGGTTTCCCACCTACCTCTTGGAGACCTTACTTTGGTGTGTGTAGTGCACAGACACGTAAAAGGAAGAAAGATGCAGATGGATGGTTCAAGCAGTAGGCATTGATGAGCTTTTCCCTGGCTCTCAGAAGGAAGATGAATATGCTATGTAGAATCAGAGACACCATTTGTTTTTAGTTATTTGGCTGCTGCAGCATTGCAGTTTTCTTCAGCATTTTGGAGAAATGGATTCTTTTGGTTAAGGAATATTCCTCTTAACAGAGTTAACCTCTTGCTGTTTTGTGCTTGACTTTTCTCAGTCTAGACCTAGGCCCCTTTCCCTAACCTCCATTAGAAGGCTTTCCACTTAGGAGCGTGATTTACCCACTTCTAGAAGTTACGACTGTGTGACTAGTAATTCCCAAAGGGGCATGTTACTTTAATTTTAAGAGTCTTGGAGCCTTTTGAAATAAAATCAGCCTATTTCTTTTGCTTTTTGTTTTCTACTAGTTATAGAGAAGAGTCATCAAAGGCTGACATTCTGAAACTTAGATTTAGAGGGTGATTTATTAATTGAGAAGTGTAATTTTGAAATCTGGGCAACATCAGCCAGATGTTTGAGATACTAGAAAAACTGGATGTTGAATTTGTGACCTCATGACATTTGGTTCTATCCTTATGGTCCATATAATTGTCCTTTATGGTTAAACACATTCTGGGTTTTTTGTACTAAAACCTTTTTGCCTCTTTTCATTCTTTTTAATTTTTTTTAAGATTTATTTATTTATGCATACAGAACTGGGGTACAGGCCAGAGGTTCAGGGGCAGTGAGAGGTTTCACCAGAGATAGAGTGGGGCACAGAACAGGCAGATGGACAAAGTACACTGCTGAGGGGAGCAGTGGGCAGGTCAGGAGAGGTCTGCTCACCTTGTGGATCACCTCCGGGGCTGGAGATGAAACTCGCACTGAGGCTGTGGCCAGCTTGCAGTGTAGTGTCGTAACCCATTGCACCACCAGGGAGGGCCCCTTTTTTCATTCTTAACATATATTTCATTCTTAATATATATATTATATATATGTGTGTGTGTGTGTGTGTGTACACACACACACACATACACACACACACATACATATCCATGTGGGAGTTCCATGACATTGTGAAGTGGAAAACAAATAAAGCCTGACTTAGAGAATTTTTTTCTTTTTAAAATTGTAAATAATGTTGTCTCCCTATTTAGAATTGGACTTACAAGCCACCGGCTAGGAAAAATTCCTGGGAAATCTCTTCACTTTTGTCAGACTTCACAGGTATCCCTTATTTTAAGAAAGCATGATAAAGAACTTGTTAAAAATACAGAATTGGGCCCTCCCTGGTGGCGCAGCGGGTTAAAGCACAGCACTGAGAAGCTAAAGCCACTTCTGCATGAGTTCGATTCCCGCCTGCCCCGGAGGAGACCACATGTCGAGGCAGACCCCTCCTGACCCGCCTGCTGCTCCCCTCAGCAGTGTATTTCAGTCACTCTGCCTGTTCTGCTCCCCACTCTGTCTCTGGTGAAGCCTCTCGCCACCCCTGCACCTTTGGCCTGTACCCCTCAGTTCTGTATGCATAAATAAATAAATCTTTAAAACAAAAATAAAAAAAATAAAAAAAATACAGAATTGGTAAGGACTTTCATGCATGGCTAAGTCATGGATGGCACCAACCTGTGATACGTGTGGCTCAGCTCTTTTAGGACATTGTAAATGCCTAACAGAGAAGGACAAGGAGCAGGACTGTAGAATTTCCAAGATGTTTTAGCTAGCAGAGAAATCGTCATGACTTAGTATAGCGATCATAGGTACCCTGGCCCATCTTGTTGAAAACCAGATCTAACATTCCTTTCTTTCAACTTCTTTCTTTCATGTGGGCAAAAGCTGTTCCTAGAAACCTAAACTCCTCAGCTCCTTGTATATAAATAGAAAGTTCTGTCAACTCTTACTTCAGATCCATTACCTCTCTCTACTTAATGATGTACAGCAGATTAAGTGGGGGGTGCGGTGGGGGGTGGTGGCGGTTAGTTCCTTAGCATTAAACACTATGTTTTTCATAATACAGTCCTACTTCATGTCTCAGTATTCCACTTCACAGTTTTCCTTAAACAAACTCATACCATATTCCATTATACTCATTATGTCTCCTTGTTAGATTGTAACTTTCTCAAGGGAAAAGAGTAGACCTGTGTACTTATCTTTCCATCACATGACCTGATACAAAGTCTGACACATAGAAAGTGCTCATTTGAAATTTATTTATTCATTCAGCTTGTATTTACTGAGCAATCTAGTATGTACCAGGCACTGTTATAGACCCTGCTGGTGTCAGAGTGAGTTGAGGCCCCTAGTGCTTTTGTGGAACTTCTGTCCTTCATATAGCAGTCAATAAACACTTCAGCATATGTCAGGTAGTAACAGGGAAATTGGAGAAGGAGTAAAGGGTTAGAGAGAGTTGGCTACTAGAAAGGAATAGGGAAGGAGGGGGTAGTATTTTAGATAAGACTTCTAATGGGTTAACAGTTGAGCAGATTCCAAAATCAAATGAGGGAGATTATTAGACAGGGTTTTGAGACAAGGCCAGTCCAGACAGGAGAGATGGCAAGTACAGAATCTGGATTTCCTTGACTAATAGTTGAGGACCTCCAGTGGGATAGAAGAAAGTGATGACACAGGTCAGTGAAGTGCGGATGGTGTATCAGGTAGGTGTTGTGGGCCATGAGAAAGAGTTAGAACTTTGTTTCAAGTGTGGTCTAAGTCATGAGAGGAAATGGGTATTACCAGATTTGTATTTAAAAAGAATCACACTGGTTGTGATATAGAGAACAGTCAATTGAAAGTGGAAGTGGGAGACGCCTTATGAT